CACACCTCTGCGGGGATCATCGCCAGAGCTGGCGGCACCGAAGCCTCGCATTAAAGGAATCAGAGATGACTGAATGGCACATGCCGAGCACGCTCCGGCCTCTCCATTCTGGATCTCTGTCGACTGCAGGACCTGAATCAACAACAACCGGAAGCCAAAGCGAAGACAACCATGCACGTCCGGCCCACCTTAAGTCGATGAAGACCCAGTGGCCGCTCCTCGCCAAGTAGTAGTCTTAGTAGTAGTAGTAGTAGTAGTAGTAGTAGTAGTAGTGGTAGTAGTAGTAGTAGTAGTAGTAGTAGTAGTGGTAGTAGTAGTAGTAGCAGTAGTAGTAGTAGTAAGTAGTCACTACTTAGTAGTAGTAGTAGTAGTAGTAGTAGTAGTAGTAGTAGTAGTAGTAGTAGTAGTAGTAGTAGTAGTAGTATAGTAATAGTAAGTGGTAGTAGTAGTAGTAGTAGTAGTAGTAGTAGTAGTAGTAGTAGTAGTAGTATATTTAAATTAAAGTAGTAGTAGTAGTAGTAGTAGTAGTAGTAGTAGTAGTAGTAGTAGTAGTAGTAGTAGTAGTAGTCGTAGTAGTAGTAGTAGTAGTAGTAGTCGTAGTAGTACTAGTAGTAGTAGTAGTAGTAGTAGTAGTAGTAGTAGTAGTAGTAGTAGTAGTAGTAGTTCGTATTAGCAGTAGTAGTGGTAGTAGTAGTGTAAGTAGTAGTGTAAGTAGTAGTAGTAGTAGTAGTAGTAGTAGTAGTAGTAGTAGTAGTAGTAGTAGTAGTAGTAGTAGTAGTAGTAGTAGTAGTAGTAGTAGTAGTAGTAGTAGTAGTAGTAGTAGTAGTAGTAGTAGTAGTAGTAGTAGTAGTAGTAGTAGTAGTAGTAGTAGTAGTAGTAGTAGTAGTAGTAGTAGTAGTAGTAGTAGTAGTAGTAGTAGTAGTAGTAGTAGTAGTAGTAGTAGTAGTAGTAGTAGCAGTAGCAGTAGCAGTAGTAGTAGTAGTAGTAGTAGTAGTAGTAGTAGTAGTAGTAGTAGTAGTAGTAGTAGTAGTAGTAGTAGTAGTAGTAGTAATACTAATAATAATAACAATAATAATAATAAATAATAATAATAATTTTAATAATAATAATTTATAATAATAATAATAATAATAATAATAATAATAATAATAATAAAAATAATAATAATAATAATAATAATAATAATAAAATATAAATTAGTAACAGTTAGTAGTCAGTAGTAGTAGTAGTAGTAGTAGTAGTAGTAGTAGTAGTAGTAGTAGTAGTAGTAGTAGTAGTAGTAGTAGTAGTAGTAGTAGTAGTAGTAGTAGTAGTAGTCGTAAACATTAAACCCTACTCGGTCCTGGTCTTGGCTTGGCCGTCCAGCTGCGCCGTTGTCAGGCGTCGAGGATGGTTCTCGCCCCGCTCCTTAGTGCTTTGGGCTTTAGGCTGAAGGCCTTTAAGGATGGACTACGCATTGGCATATTGCCTCGGAACCTGGGGGCCTGGCTGCTCGTACCGAAGAGCCTTGGAGCCTTGGAGCCTGTCAACGAAGAGCTTGCATCGCAAACCAGGCAACATTCCCTTTTCATTCCGGCAGCCGTGGAGCCCTGGAGCCCGGAACCCTTGCATTTCAACCACAGTTAGGCTTGGCCCGGAGCCAGAGGCCAAGGAGGTTGGAGCCTTGGAGCTTGGGAGCCTTGCTTCACATTTCGACCACAGTCAGGCTTGGCCCGGAGCCAGAGGTCAAGGAGGGTCACCATCTTCAGGTAGGGAGCTTGGAGCCTTGCTTTACATTTCGACCACAGCTCGCCAAGAAGGGTCCCCCTTTTCATTTCGGTAGCCTTGGAGCCTTGGAGCATTGCCTTACATTTCGACCACAGTTAGGCTTGGCCCGGAGCCAGAGGCCAAGGAGGGTCCCCCTTTTCATTTCTACATTTGGACCGGGAGCCAAAGGCAAGCAGGGTCCCACTTTCTGGAGCCTTGGAGCCTTTTGGCGCAAAGCCAGCTTGGAGCCTTGCCTTGCGAGCCTTGGAGCCTTGCTTAGCCAAAGGCAAGCAGGGTCCCACTTTCTGGAGCCTTGGAGCTTTTTGGCGCAAAGCCAGCTTGGAGCCTTGCCTTGCGAGCCTTGGAGCCTTGCTTGGCACCCTTTCGTCATGTTGACCACAGTTAGGCTTGGCCCGGAGCCAGAGGCCAAGGAGGGTCCCCTTTTTCATTTCTAGCCTGGGAGCCTTGCTTTAGAGCCAAAGGCAAGCAGGGTCCCACTTTCTGGAGCCTTGGAGCCAAAGCCAGCTTGGAGCCTTGCCTTGCGAGCCTTGGAGCCTTGCTTGGCCCCCTTCATTTTGACCACAGTTAGGCTTGGCCCGGAGCCAGAGGCCACGGAGGGTGCCCCTTTCATTTTGACCACAGTTAGGCTTGGCCCGGAGCCAGAGGCCAAGGAGGGTCCCCCTTTCATTTTGACCACAGTTAGGCTTGGCACGGGGCCAGAGGCCAAGGAGGGTCCCCCTTTCATTTTGACCACAGTTAGGCTTGGCCGGGAGCCAGAGGCCACGGAGGGTCCCCCGTTGAAGAAAAAACATTTCGACCACAGTTAGGCTTGGCCGGGAGCCAGAGGCAGGGTCCCCCTTTTCATTTCACAGCCTTGGAGCCTTGGAGCCTGCATCTTGACTCTCTTTCGCTGAAAGAGGGTCTCATTCTAGTCAGGTTCTTCACTCAGCATGCCTGGTCGTACCGAGCTGTCTGCAGCGAGGCAGATTCAAGGCCAGAAGCAGTAGAACACAAACGTACATGAGGGCAGGGTGCTTTGAAACTAAACCTTGTGGCCTTGACGACGATGGGTCGATGTCGATGCGGTCCCTCGCAGCATAGAATCATCCTGGCGACAGCCAAGATCCGCTGTCAAATTAATTAAACTTGACTGTCCAACGCAGCACGGGTCCTGACAGCTTCCTTGGCGCTGCGGCCGTGGACCACGCTTGCCCATCTCCCTGCCTGCAAAGAACGACATGTGAACCAGGTTACATGTGGAATTTGGGTGCGTTCACATGACTCACGACACTGGCCTCTGCTTTTTCGGACAACCCCCGCGCTGAGAATTAAAATAATTGAATTAGGGATCCCAGCCAGTCTTGCGCCAGACCTTGGAGCCTGGGAACCTGGTAGCCGCGACACGCCCTGCAAACAGCGTGTCACGACGCACTTCACCACTTCGGCAAGATGCAACGCACGGCACTGTGCGGAATCGGTTACAACGAGGAAACTCACTGCATCTCACATTGCATGCAATCTTCCCCCCATGCTCGGATATGCTGCTAACTGAACACACGAAGGCTATGAAAGTCACACCCTACTAACTAACCCTGAAACCCTTTAACTGACTCTAAACACACGTTAAACCATACGAGCCATCATCAAATAAAAATGGAGGCTCAGTCGAGTCATTTCTGATTAAGACAGAGCTCCGGCCACCGCCGCTTTCCGGGGTCTGGAGCACAGCCGACCAACACAAACAGCCCCCATTTACCGGCTCGAAGCACCTTTGTGCAGCACGTGTGACTTGCAGCGGGGCAATTGGCTAAGTCGCTGCGTGTTTTCCACAGCTCGGGCCACTGCTTGCACCACGCTCTCAGTCCGGCCTCCCCCTTGGGCATGAAGGGGTTCCCGGTCTCCACCTCAAACACCACGCAAGCATAGGCCCACATATCCACAGCTGCAGTCAGCAGCTGCTTTCTGACACCGCAGTCTCCATCGCCATTCACATGAGCGGGCCACAGCTCCGGAGGTCGATAGGCAGCCGTGACATACTGCAGGAACCTGGGAGCCTGAGAAGCCTTCTGGAGCCGTGCCATGTTCTCACTCATTCCGAAGTCGCACACCTGCACCTGATCTGTGCAAGGGCACCAAAGAACATTGCCAGGTTTCACATCCAAGTGTAGGATGCCTGCGTCATGCAAGGTCTGCAGTGCACTTCTCAGATGAGCTGCCACAGACCACGTCCTCGGCTTGCCATGCGCCGCAGGATTTCGAAGTGCGGTTGCCAGGCTGGGCCCACATAGGCTAGTAGCCATCCATGGCCAAGGTCTGCCCGTGACACCCGAGCTGACAAGAGGCGGGAACCACATCATCTTCTGCTGCGGAACGGCCTTCATTAGAAGCTTCATCTGCTCCACTTCGTGCCTGCAATCCGCGGGGCCATCGGAGCCACGATAAACCTTCACCGCCACGTTGAGGCCGCTTTGCGGATGCTGGCAACTGTAGACACTGCCATAGGCTCCGCCTCCAATTGGAGCCCTTGCACCATTAAGCTCAAATGGGCCAACGCGACCGCCAGATTCGTCAGCGGCAGGGGGGTCCTTCGCCTCGTCGGGGCCGCCCGCACTGGTCGTGGAGCCCCGCATCCTGATGCCAAGAACGGCCAGTGCACTTCGCTGAGCCATGAACTCATCTTTGCTCCTCGCCATGAATGGTGCCTTCTGCTTGGCGGTCATGCCCTGCCAGACTGCGCCAAGATGCTTCATCTCATTGAGAAACTCGTGCTTGGGAGCGCCTTTCTTGACTTCGGAGTTTTCCTGGAACCAGATGACGAAGGCCCTTCGAGCCTTGGGGACCAAGCCGTCTTTCACAGCCTGCTTCCGCAAGCTCTGCGATTTGCTGCCACCATGCTGGCCCCCCCGGGGCATCCGACGAGAAGCCGTCTTGAGACTGGTTTTGCCCCAGAGGCGTCTGGTAGGCCTCCATCGGCAGCCCATGTCGAACCCAAGCAGGGAACCTCAGAGCCTGGGAACCTGGGGCCATAACGGCTCGCTTTAATGCATTCAGGCGACTACAAAAACATCCTCGGCGAGTCCTATTTCAATGTCATGCCACAATAAGAGCATTTCGGCTTTTTCAGGCGACAGTAGTCACTGCTACACACTACTGACAAAACTGAGCCCGGCAAAAGGTCAAGAGCCTGAGAACCTGGGAGCCGAGGTGCCTGAGCTGGTGCCTGAGCTGGCGGATTCGGTCGAAGTGAAACATCATCACTGCGGTTGATCGCGGGGGCTATCTGGCTCAGCAGGTGCCTCGTCCTGGTCGTCTTGGTTGGACAAGCTCTCCAGAACGTGCGGGAAATGCTTCTTCACCGCCTTGGCATTCTCGTCCGAGTAAAGAGTGGATCCCTCCAAAGCCATCATTCCGCAAGCTGCGCGATCAGCAACCGCCTGGACCCACGACATGTGCTCCTTGTTGAGGCCTCGGATAATTTAAATAAAATCAAATGACAATGATCTGACGAATCTACTGGACAAGTAAGGGTGCTGCAAAGCCCGTGGTATGCGATGCCGGCAGTCAAAGAAGCCTCCATCAGAGCACCGGTGCCAGCCGTGAGGTCAAACACTGCCTCCGCGCAAAACTCCTCAATGATGGCATTCCAATATGCTATCGGCTTCGACTCGTTCCAGAACAAGGGTACGTCGGCGCCGTGGCGATCCTGCCAGTCCTCTGGCGGTGTCGGGAGGTCGCCGGTTGTTGCCGGAGCAATGATCTTCTTCTTGGTGTCTGCAGACACGAGGGGCATTTCAGAAACCGCACGGTACTCCACGCCTGAGTAAGTGCCTTGGTACGTAGAAGCCTCGCCGCAGACTGTGAAGGAGCCTTTCTTCGTCGTCTGAATCTTGGTGCGTGCGACCGGGGACTTAACCGCTCCTGTCTCCACCTTCTTTGCAGCCAGCGGAACGCGGCGAGTGCGACCAGTTCTCGGCGGGCACCCACCTGAGTACACGATGGTGCACTCCTCGGTGTGCTGCTGGTTCAGCAGGAGGTCTTCCTTAAAGAACCAGGTGCAGCCTTTGAGCCTTGGAGCCTGGGAGCCTTGTCACATCACCCCGCCAAGACTCGGACACGCGGCGAATTTCCCGCATTCTGCCGTCGAAGAGTACAACGAAATCCTCGGGCCCAGAAATGTCTTTGGCAAAGGCACAGATCTCTTTCCATTCCTCGCTTGGCGGAGTGCCCTTGAGCCACGGGCCGGTACCAGCCTCTGCCAAGAGATCCGCACTGGCAACGATCAGGCGGTGCGAAGAGTTTAAGGTGCCCTTGTGCGTGAAGACCTTGCCGCAACCTCTGAACGCATTGACTAGGCAGTCCTTCGAGATCTTGTTCGTTACCGAGAACGACACGAACTTGCGGCGTTCCGTTTGCACCGCCTTCCACTGCCGCTCACGCTCGACACATTCCTCGGGTGTGTCAGCTTCAGAAGCCTTGGACAGGCTTTGGAGCAAACTCGGAGCAGGAGCCGCAGATGTGGCACCAACGGACTTCGTGCTGTTGTCGAACTTGTCGACAATGATCTTCATCTGAGTGATAAGCGCACATGGCTCCTCGTGCTCCGTGTCATCCGAGCTTCCGAGCTGTGCAGCTGTCAATGCCTTTGCAAGGCCATCTTCACTCGAAGCCAGCATGCAGCAATCCTTGTAGTACTTCCCCGACATCAGCTCCAGCAGCAAATCCAAAAGCATCCCAATGGCTTTGTTGAAACCCTCTTTAACAGCTCCAATCTTGGACTGCGGAACAGGGCGCTCCACGTCCTCTGGGTCCTCGCCGTCCATGTCGTCCTCTCCAGCAGCCCCTTGATCAGCATCAGCATGGCGGAGATATTTCTCCCAACATGTGGAAGGGCAACGGAGTTCAGCCAAAATCCCTGTCAGCTTAACCTTGTCCGGCTCAGGCAACTTGTTCGCCAGCTTTGCTGCATAATCGAAGACCTCTGTCAGTGTTCAAGCTGCCGATGACTTGCAACACTCCGCAAAAAAAAATACACACGCTAGTCAGAATAGTTATTATAGCCACAATGCCTGCACCACCAGCATGCGCGACAACCAAAAGCCAGCATCGCCTGTCTTCCGGTCTCGATCCAGAAACTTCTCGGTGCATTTAGCTGGCGTGACCATGTTCATGCGCAGGGCCAGCGTCAAGGAGTCGAGCATCCAGGCCGTCAGGTCTACAGCGTTTCTGGTAGCAGATGCGAGCTTGTTGGTCAGCGATAACAGCTTGCTCAACTTCGAGTACTGACTGCTCAAGATGCCCCGCCCAAATTCCAGCTCCAATCTCCGGTCAGCCTTCTCCACGGGACCGGATGGACCCCGCAGCACTGCAACAGCTGCTGTGGCAGCCTGGTGTAAGGCCTTGTTGTACAAGGTGTTGTTGTACCTCAAGTTCTGTTCCTCACCATCCTGGACTTTTTCGACCTTGAGCAGCTGGACAGTCTTTGCAAATGTCCAAAAGGTGTCGGACAGGCCAGGGTGCCCGAGTGCCTTGACTTTCTCTGAAGCAAGATTGCGACTCTTCGCAATCTCCCCTGCGCTGGAACACAAGCGAACCTGTATCGTGACAGTGCAGCCACACTCCCACAAAATCTCCAAAACTGCTTTGTCCTGCCAAGTGCAAGCACACATCAGTCAGATGAATCAATAACATGTCATGTCATGTGAACACAAGCAGCAACTGTCCTGGGAGACTAGGGCTTTGAAGACGGCCAAGTACCAAGCCCACAACACAAACACGCCGCTAGCAAGATGCAACGAGCTGTTGAACTCTTCGTGAATCACGTCAGATGCTGACTCCGTGAGGACAATCATCTCACAAGGCCACGTCAGCCGGGTTCGTGACGTTTTTTGTTTCTTCTTGGCAGCTTCACGCGATACAACTGTGCTGAAAGCAACTTTCTTGGAGAAGAAAGCGTCTTCGAAAGTTTGGAGATCCTGCCAGCACACATCCTCAGACGCACTGGCAAAAGCTTCTGTGGCCAGCCACAGCGCGAGGCCACTGGCTTCGTAAAGTCCAGATGATGTCAGGGACGCTTGGCAGTCATCTTTGCTCCACACAGCCTGACAAACGACAACGGTCAAACAATAATAAATGACATTGATCGACATGCGCCCGCCTTGTATCCGGTCAAATCCCCCATCTTGGCTTCTGCGTTGATGGCAAGCGGCGGTGTCTTGAACATCTGCTTGGCCTGCGGAAACTTCAGAGGGAGCTGGCTGCGGACCTCGGGCAGGCACGGCATGCAGCACTGTTAGCCGCGAGACGGGACACGGTATCAAGAACTCAGCGAAGTGCCCATGGCACGATGTTTGCCAGGGCTTCTTGAGCACTGGCCTGCTTCACATGGCGTGCCACACATCATCATCACACACGTCATACTGCTCCGAAAATGCTGCGCTCAGAACGGTTGGGTCGGTGGGCAAATCCGGCACTTTTGCCATTGAGCGCGAGTACAGAAGCCTGGGAACCTGGGAGCCGAGTAGCCTTCCACGGAACCGTTTGGAGTCTTGCGGTGCAGCGCAAGGCAATAAGACTGCTGCAGTGCAGGACATGCTGCAAACAAACACACACTGACGTCGACAGCGGTCCTTTGTAGTCGTGGGCCCTGCCACAGTTTGTCGACGAGCGGCTTGAGCTTTACATGTCCATTTAAATCAAGTTGGCAGCAAAGTAAGGAATCATCAAAATCCTACTATGCTGCTGATGAGTCATCTAAACATGACGACACCAAGCCGGCGCCACATGGACCTTGGAGCCTGGGAGCCTAGGAGCCTGGGAGACGCCTCAGCTGGGCATCAACGGCAGCGATGGCATCCTGGTCGCGGCGGAGCTGCTTGTTGGAGACGTCCACCTGTTCCTTCAAGCGCCGTTTGTGCTCCACCAGCTTGGAGCGCTGAGCCTCAAGGAGAATGTCTGAGTGCTTCCTGGGGTTGCTCATGCTCACGATGCCCATCTCGATCCCGGACCTGCGTACCTTCAAGTTGCCGGTGCGGATCCGCTCTGCCAGGTCATTGCCCTTGAGCATCCAGAAGTACCCCATCGGATGGAGAACCGGCGGTGACTGGTTGATGACGCCCTCGCAGCTGAACTCGAGCATGTCCATGTCGAGCTGCTTGAGGGCAAAAAAACCCAACGTGGCCGCTGCGTGCGTGGACGAAGAAACCGGGAACAGGGATGCACCGGGATCCGGAAGGAACGGATCCCCCTGCGCAGCGAACACGTGGTTCCGGGCCAAGAAGTTCACGAGGGCAGATGTGTCCTCCTTGCTAATGTCGAAGCCGCCGCTGCCGCCGCCTTCCTCCGACTTGACCGCCGTGTAGCACATGAAGCCCAAACCCCCGCCAAGGTCGGGCCCGGGTGCAAGGGTCTGCCAGGCGCGGCTGGTCGTGGCCTGCACCATGACGTGCCTTGATCGGACGCAATACCCTGGACCCATAAACCCCTAAACCCCTGAACCCTTGAACCCCTGAACCTCTGAACCCCTGAGCCTATAATTAATATAAAATTAAATAACAATAAATGAAAAGACTTCCTGGCGTCCGATGTACTCGAATTCAAGGCTTCAGTTCGCCTCGTCGTGGAAAGGCAGCTCCTGGCAAGGATCCGAGAACAGCGGAACATAGTAGCCGCCATCCTCCACCACAATGTCTCTTGCAGAGCACGCTTCGGCCAGATTTTTCTTTGTGAACAGTGTGAGAACCACGAACTGGGTCTCCCCAATGGCTTCTGTCAGCTGGCGGCGCGATGAGCGCAGCTTCGCCTTCACAGGCTTGTCTGCAGCAGACGGGGCCGCCCCCAACTTGCGCATGGCTTCCTTGCGCTGCCATGTGATGGCGTCCAGTTTCGTCGCCAGAAACAAGGCACGGAAGCCGATCTCCGGTGACTCGTAATAGGAATCCTTCTCAAACTCGGAAGCCGCCTCCACACTCTTCTCGTAGTCACTTGCCCTCAGCGCACAGTAGCCGAGACGCGACCAAGATCTCTGAGACTGAGTCTCTATCACTGGGTTCTCCTCCGCCTCGGCGATGATGGTGGGTGCCATATCTGCGGCGGCTGCTTTAGGATCGGCTGCGGCCATTTTCGCAGGCGGCATTGGGACCTAGTAGCCTATGTGAGCCAGGTAGCCTTGGAGCCTGTTGCCGCAGAAGCCTCGTATCAGATGCTGATAGTGACATGGCAAGACTGACACAACACACTGTCGCATGCAACTGTCATGTTCTGACACCTCAGCCACACAGCCAACCATGACTGAAATGAAACGACTTTGGGCCTGCCCCTCGACGTCCAGCTTGTCGACGACAACAGCCTCAGACAATGCAGTGACAAGTGACATGTGCATTGAAGGGTCATTTGCGTGCGTTGAAGGGTCATTCGTGTGCATTGAAGGGTGACAGGTGCTTCTTTCATCATTAAGGCACTGCTAACGTGACCCTTGGATGCACTCAAAACACCCTTGGATGCATGGAACAAGAGCTGCCGGGACCCTTGGATGCATCCAAAACACCCTTGGATGTAGCGCCGCGGCGATTGGCGCGAATCCTGCCTGTATTGAAATGAAAGAGGAAGGCTATTGCAAGGGACAAATGGAACGTCAATACACCAGGGATTGGCACCAATCCATGGTGTATTGCATCCTACCATTGTCCTGCAATTAAACACCTGCAGGGGAAGTGAATTGCAAGGCCGTTTTGTCCTGCCAATACGCCCCGGATTGGCACCAACCTGCAGTGTATTGAGCAGGGGCTTGCAACAGGCTCTGTTGCAGGCACCTGCTGCCCCAGACAAGGTTAACCCTGCCTTGCGACACAGGCCCCCTGTACATTCCTGTGCGAACGACTAGACTTAAAATGATTCGACCCCAGGAAAATTCCTGCCTGCGAACCTGGGAGCCAAGGAGCCAAGGAGCCAGAGAGCACTGTCATTAACTGCTGCAGTACAGGACTATGACGCACGAACTTTCTTGGGTTTCTTGGGGGGCAAATGCCTCATCTGTACACCAGCACCGGACAATGTCCGCTTCTGGGACAACCCGCGGACGGTGCGGAGGAAATTCCAGATATCGGCCTCTCCATTGATCTTGTAGGTGGTGCGCCTCTTGGTAGCAAATTGAGTGGGCAGTGGTGTGCCGATAGCAACACGCCACTTCGACTGGGGCAACTTCTCACAGAATCGCAGGGCCTCGACGATGGCACGGGTCCTGACTGATTGAACTTAAATGAACCCAAACCCAACCCTAGACAATAAACCCTTCAACCCGAAACCCTTGAAACTCAGTGTCTGTGCCACCGAGCAACAGTTGACAGCTCTTGGCGATCTCAAGGCCGACCAGCCTCGAAGTTGCAGCTGTGTTGAAGGACAAGAACGACTTCTCAGCATCAATTGTCGGATTGTCCAAGTATGCCAGAATCGCCTCCCTGGAGCCAAGCACTTTGCCACAGCCGTACGCAATGATCAAGGCAGGAACCTGGGATGAAACACGTCAACGTGTACCAGCAGTGACGATCTAAGCCTGGCATCATCCGACTTTTAAACATTTTAATTAAAAGCTTGGGACCAGTCGGTCGCTGCGGACCGTCTCCACATCGGACAGTTGTTCGAGGACCAGGATATCGGCGGATTCATACTCGTACGGTCCAAGAATCTGGAAATGCTTGTTGCCTTGCAGCGACTTGCTGTCCGTGTAGCGACGATAGACCGGACATAGCTTCAGAACTCGTTTGCGGAGGATGCTTTGCAAGACGGATGACCGATCCTTCTCGTGGCCGTGCTGCACCATGCGCAAACCGCCAAGCCGTGCCGCCGTTGTTGTGTAAGCAATCTTGCCAGAGGATCGTCTCCGCGCTTCCTCTTGGTGACCTTGGCTGGATGACAATGACAATGTGTATGACACTTCAAATGACTTAGCACGGAAAGCAACCGTTGTGCTGCTGAGTCACCGTCATATTTCTGCTGTGTGCGTGCACGGAAATTCTCCAAATGCTTGAGGGCATCTGGTGTGGGGCGGGCGAAAGCCCAACGTGTGCCAGCAACGCTGTTCTGGGCAGAGGCAGACGCTGCCGGCAAAGGCAGGCTCAAGCCCGGCACGAAAGAGGCCGGCTTCCACGACCTGCATTTCGAAGCAGCTGCCTCTGCTCTCTTCGCTGCCTCGGCGGCGGCTGCTTCACGGCCTCTGACAATTGCAGCCAGAGTTCCAGAACGTGCCTGGCGTGGCTTGCTGGGCCCCTGCTTTCGTTCTTTGTTGTAGGTCCTGCGGAACCGACGCCCAAAGTGACGAATCCACAGTTCACCACAAAGAACCCCGAAGTCAGTTGGGGTCAGCACGGCACCTTCGCGCTCCGGCTTCCGGAAAAATTCTTCCTCTCGCTGGGGACCTTCAACTGCCACCTCGAGGATGGAGGCAATGGTTGAGCCATTTGGAGTGAGGGGTCCGGAATGCGCCTCCAGCTGTGTGAGCAAGTGTCCCAAATCCCTTTCCAGCGTGGTCGTGTTGATCTTCAAGGACAAGAAGACAGCAATGAGGGCATGACAATCCTCTGTCCATGGAAGTTTGTGTGCATGCCGTGCACGCCACGCTGGCCGAAGCAACCAAGACCACGCATGTTTGTTCCCGAAGCCTGGGTCCTTTGACTTAGCTGCTTCTAGAAGAGGATGCAATTTGCGAGCAAATCGTCCAAACAGCACGGCTGTACCGTGCGAAAGCTTGAGCATATCACAGAGCTTGCGTGTAGAGTCCACTAGCTCCTGTTGTCGGTTCGTCTCCTGCCACAGCCGAAGGTTGAATACCTGCAGAGCCACGGCGATCTCATCCTCCGTCAGATCTACTCGCAAACGCTACAGCATCGCCTCGACCACGTGCGCCATAGTTCCCATGATCTGCCTTACATCAGAAATGCCGGCCTTCGTGCACAGGTAGTGGACTCTGTTGCCATAGACGATCCTAGGTTTGCCACGGCGGGCATACCAGCGAAGCCTACTGGAACACAACCGCTATGACGACGACAAACTTGCAGGGTAGTTGCGGCTCTGGTGTCTGGATCTCCTCGTAAACTAACTGGGTTGCACACCTCCTGGGAGCCTGGGAGCCTGGAGCCTCGGAGCCGTCCACGGAACTGGGAACCTGCGAGCTGTCGGAGAGGCTGTATCCATCCACAAATAAGAACCGCTGGCGCTTGGTGAACTCTTCCAGCACTCTGGGGGTGCAGGATACATCTGGATCCTCAATGTCAAAGTTCCTGCGCAAGAAACCCAGGCACTCAAATGTGTAGTCGCAAGTGAGTCCACAGCGCATGAGGGCTGCTGCATTCATGTTTTGCAAGGCGCGCTCTGCTCGGGAGCGAATCTCGACCGTGTTTCTCTCCTGTGTGTCATACAACGGACATTTCAACATACATGACATACATGCGTAGAGTAACATACATACTATTATTACATTACATACATACATGCATACATACTACATACATAATACTTACATACATTAAATTACATACATACATACATACATACATACATACATACAAACATACAAACATACATACTATACATACATAACATACTACGATACATACACACATACATACAAACATTCAATGTTTAAAATAATTTAATTTATTATTATTAAATTAGTTCATACTCAGTCATACAATACATACATACATACATACATACATACATGCCATACATACATACATACATACATACATACATACATACTATACATACATACAATACATACATACATACTATACATACATACATACATACATTGTATTATGTTAATAATAATATGTCTAATAATACCTACATGCATACATACATACATACATACAATGCCAATACAATACATACATACATACATACATACATACATACGTATCATACATACATACATACATACATACAAACATACATACATACATACATAATACATACACACATACATACTTTAAATTTCTTAACGCTACACATACATACATACATACTACATACATACACACATACATACCTACATACATACGTACATGCATACATACTTACATCCATGCTTTACTTACATAATACATACTACATACATACATGCATACATACATACTCATACATAATACTTACATACATACATACATACATACATACGTACATGCCATACATACATACATACATACATACAATTCAATTTAGATACTACACATTGAAAGTGAGTTACCATGCATTAATACATACATACATACATACATACTACATATCATATACATAATACTAAGACTACATACTTAATTATTATTGAATAAAAGTTAATATATTATAAAATTAATTAAATAGTTATTAATCATTGTCATTAATATTTATTAATTTAAATTATTATTATTATTAAATTATTAAAATAATAATTACGTACATACATACATCCGCACATACATGCATTAATACAATCCATACTAAGACTAAGATTTAATACACAATAATTAAATTAAAATAAATAATAATTATTAAATTTAATAATTTTAAAATTTGTTTGACATAAGGACAAGACTCGTCAGCAGCCTGCATAGCACATAAGACCGACATCGCACGAATCATGCACAAGTACTTCAGCATTGGTGTGGCCGACGAGTCAAACCGAGGTTGGGAGAACGACAACGCTCGGATCACCTTCTCCACACCAGCCTGGGAGCCATGGAGCCTGAGAACCTCTTGCTGGGCCGCCATGAGCCTGGCCTTCCAGACTTCTGAGTTCTGGATGTCTGGGATAAGCGCATGCTTGCCCTTGCCGGGAGCAAACAAACGCTCCCACTGGTCTTGGAACTCGGGCATGGCGTGAAGAGGGTCCTGGTAGGCAATACGAACCTGGTGCGCAGGATCATGGCTTACCCAGACCAGGTTAGGATACTGGCCGCCAGTGACCAACAACCTGCCACACTTCCGGGCAGATGTGCACTGATCGGCTGCAAAGTGCCGCACGTGCAGCTTCAAGCGGCTGCAGGACTCCTCGTCAGTTTTGCCTTCCGGATCCTGACAGGCCCTGTCAATGACTATGCCTATGCTGTCTGCCATCACCTGACTCTTGTCCGCATCGTGCTACTCCAATGTGTTTTCAGGAACACTGGCACCTGTCTTGTAGACCCCAAGCAAGCCATCGGCGACAAGCGGGCCATCCTCCGAGCCTTGGGAGCCGTGGGAGCCTTGGGGACCTTGGGAGCCTGGAGCCGCTGACTGCTTGGCAGTGCGCGGTGGAACATCGCAACGGTACCTCACCAAACGATACTCCTTGCGGTCGTCCACGGACAAGCTGATGCTGGTGGCTTGTTCGAGACGCTGCTTGCGAACACTCTTGACAGCCCAGTGCATAACAAGAATCATGTTCTTGAGACCTCAGATGATTAATTAAATTATTTGTCCAATTTTAAATTTAAATGTGCCAAAATAAAATGTCAACAATCTGAAACCTTAGGCCTTTTAAAGTGCTGCATCCTGGCTCACACTGTCAAGCTTCGTGTTCCTGCCAGCAGCGAAGTCTTCCGTGGAATAGAATTTCACGGCACCTTTGAAAGAAGATGCTGTCCGGCACGCCCGCCACGCTCGCAACCAATCTGCCGGCTGAGGAACGTTGCCGGAGAAGAGGTGCTGATGCTTGATGCTGTAAGGCAAGCACTGTGAGATCGGCGT